GTTAGCGTGGTAGCGTTAGCATGGTAGTGTTAGCATGGTAGTGTTAGCATGGTAGCGTTAGCATGGTAGCGTTAGCATGGTAGCGTGAGCGTTAGCGTGGTAGCGTGAGCGTGGTAGCGTTAGCGTGGTAGCGTTAGCGTGGTAGCGTGAGCATGGTAGCATTAGCATGCTAGCGTTAGCATGCTAGCGTTAGCGTGGTAGCGTTAGCATAGTAGCGTTAGCGTGGTAGCGTTAGCGTGCCGACGTGGGCACACCTCCCTGAAGAAGTGGGCGGATTGCCTGTGTCTCATTTGCATTTAAAGAGACAGGCACTCCAAAGCGAGCGCTCTGAACGGGGCTGTTTTGGGTTAGGGTTAGGGTTAGGGTTAGGGTTAGGGTTAGGCAGGGGGACTGAACTGCTATTGGGCTTCATCCTTATGGGATTCTGACCAAAGCTTTTCACAGACATTACATTAGGACACCAGGGAGCTAGCTTAACTTGTTGAAATATGGTATAATATGTCCTCCCTCAAACAAACCCCAGAAAAGCTCATCTTTACCTGACCTCTTTTCTAACAACTGTCTGTAAATGTCTGGGAAGGAGACGAGTCTCTGGGGAGGAATGTTGAACCATTCGGACGTTTGGATTCCTGCTGGAAGCAGAAACATGCTCCACATGTTTAAGATGGCTAACGGTAGAGAATACGAGCCTCCAGTGGAGGACGGAGCATTTCACACCTAGGCCCTCAGTAGAACTCTGTCTGAATCAGTTCACCCCTCAAAAACTATTTTATGATTGTAAAAAATCATCTTTTTATGTAGAAATACAAAATAAAGATCAGATCAGGGGTGCACACGTCTTCCAATACTGCAGCTATAGCTTTTATTTACCCCACCAAATAAAAAAACAAAAAAAACATCAATAATATCCTCATAAACTCATAATATTATTTAGGAAAAATGCAACTTTTACTCACTTACTTTTCTTGAAAAGTCCGTTTTGAAAATGGCCTTGACAGTAAATCTGCCATCAAATCAATTCAGCCATTGTGGGAAGATAAAATAGCTATTACACCAACACAACTATATTAGTTAGTTTGTTTGTTTGCTAGAATTGGCTGGTACGCTATCTGACTATCCAATCAGCGGGCGTGAATACGGTGATGTTGCCTAAGGCCTTCTAGAAGGCCCTGGTGTCCCCAACTTAAATCTCATTGGTTAAAGCAACAGTTTAATCTATCTTTTATTTCCATTTTCTGTTAGAGGGCAGAACGGATTGTGAAGGCCTCCAGGCAGACATCTTTGACTTTGACTCTGCCTAGCAACAAGTGATGGCTGAAATGTGATTGGTTAAAGGCTTTAATATGAAAACACATGTCTGGAAGCAGCACAACCAGGGGAAAAGCTATGAAAGGAAGCGGACAGACTATTTAGAGATATTTAATACGTATTCATGGACAAAATATAATTAACAACAGTCTGTGATTCAGATATTTTCTTAGGCCAGCAGAGAAGGCCCTAACCCTAGCCTCCTATTCCAGGCTCTCCTGTGGTTGTTGTTAGCAGTTTTCACTGACCTGGTGAACAGTTTGAGGCCTTTCCTGAGAGGAAAACCTTCTTTTCTGAGTCTGGAACCAGTTCCACTGATAGTGGTCACAGATAAACCTTAGCTGGGAGGACTCACAGCTCTTGGGGGGGCGTTTGTGGGTTTGTGGGTTTGTGGGTTTGTGGGTGTGTGGGTTTGTGGGTTTGTGCATTTGTGGGTTTGTGGGTTTGTGGGTTTGTGCATTTGTGGGTTTGTGGGTGTGTGGGTTTGTGCGTTTGTGGGTTTGTGGGTTTGTGGGTTTGTGGGTGGTACAGTGAGGGTTGTGGACACACAAAGCCGCCTGTGTTCCTGAGGCCTGTTTCAAAAGCTGAATGGCTTTCTTAGTGGAGTCTCACTGTTTTCACAGACTTCAGAAGAAACCACTGTGTCACATTCAGGATTATTCCCCTAAAAATCCACCATCTATTGGGGCAGATTCTGCTTCTAGTCGGAGCCCTTTTTACCGTCCAATCACATAACCGACTTCTTTCTAGATCACCTGAAATTTTCGGTACATCGTACAGTTCCGGTTGAAGATTAGAAAGTAGCTTCCAAATACAGCCAATAAGTCTTTCTTGTTTATGTTTATGCATTTATCCAAAACAACTTACAGAGTAGACACAATATTCCATTTCTCATCACTATGACAATAAGCTATCCAGAGGAGAAACCCTGATCAGAGTCAGTGGTGAGATAGAGATAGAGGTAGAGGTAGAGATAGAGGTAGAGGTAGAGGGACTACAGAAGGAGCTGTGGGGGGGTAGAGGACTTGTGGGCTAGCATCAGGGACTTGTGGGCTAGCATCAGGGACTTGTAGGCTAGCATCAGGGACTTGTGGGCTAGCATCAGGGGCTTGTGGGCTAGCATCAGGGACTTGTGGGCTAGCATACAGACTGGTAACAATGAAAAATTAGACTTATTTAACTTATTTAACTTATTTAACCCCAAATGTGTCATATTTGATTCATACGGTTTCTGAAATGTTTTGCGTCTGACACCTTTTGCATAATTTAATGGTAAAAACTTTGCTCAAAATCCTATTGTACACAATCCGATACACCTGATAACAGGGGGCAGAAGATACACAAAAAATTATCTGGACTTATCGCATAGTAATAAATTATTAATATAAAAAATGTATTTCTGTTTTTTCTTTTTACATATTTTGTTAAAAGGCCAAATAAAGACTTCAAACCAAAAAAAAGTAATTTTCTGTTTTGTTTTATTCTTGGATCAGGCTTTACAGGGTTAATATGAGAAAAACTAACTAAGACATCAAGTAATAAGTTAAAGTAAGGATGAAAGAAATGAAGGAAAATCACTTTCATTATCATCACAAATCACCTATAATTGCATCAAAAAACCAATCTGAACAGACTTTTTCAGACAGAAGTCATGTGATAGTTAACATAGATTCTTTTTCTTTCCCCCTTGATAATAAAAGCCTGTGAAAAGGGGAATAAAAGCCACTTTTTCACTTTTTCCCCTCTGTGCCTCATTGTTCAGCAGCAGAGTGGAGTGACTAAGCTGAGCAGAATGAGTCATTACAGGAAGGTAAGCTGAAGGCTTTCAGGGGGCAGACCACCCACTCACGTCCCCCATTAAGATTTTAAAGAGTGCTGAAAGACGAGGAGTCCTTAATGAGACGTGGGTCAGTGAAAAATTAGAAAAATATGCCCCGGAATCCGACAAAAGTTTGAGTTTTTACGGCTGAATCAAGTTAATCAAGTTACTTTTCTTGTATTCGATGTTTTTGTATTGAGACAGTAAACAGGAAAAAAGAAGACAAAAAAGAAGACAT